GCGTAGGCGCCAGCCAGCAAATAGCGCAGCAGCGCTTGCGCAGCATGCAGCCAGCACCCGAATGAAGAATGAGGAGGCAGGCCCTTTGCTATATCGAAGTGGCCTGCCTGCGTCCAGTAGGCCCCGGTAGCCTGAGGCCCAGTCACGAATGAAAACAGGCCCTGGGCCTGAGGTGGTTGCATGCGCCCAACTGCCTTTGGCATGTGTTTGGCCCGATACCCGTATCCAACCCAGGGCCTGCTTCACATACATTCATACAGGCGGCCCAGGGCCTGGGTTCACTCAACCAACTGGCGCTGCGCAACTGCCTAAATTACCCTGAGTTGCGTGGCGGCCAGAATAGGGCCCTGAGGCCCTCGTCGAGCCTGCCTTCACTTAGGGCGGCCGACGGGCTGCAAAATGGGGCCTTATGGGGCTTATCAAGGCAGTGGCCTCGCAAGTTCAGTAGGCCTCCCAATTTCCCTGAAGTGCGAAATTACCAATGAGAAAAAATTTCGAACTTTCAGACTGCAAATGATTTTCCGATAAAAGAATTCCGAAAATAAGTACAATTTTTGTTTTGGAATTACTCAGATGAGAGTACGCGCATTTGGAGAATGATAACTGCAGGAGGGATTCCCGTACCGTTTTAAAAAAAAACGGATTTCGGAATAAAAATATTCCGGATGTCCAAATAACGGGAAATTGCAAAAGGAAATCAAAATTTTCAAAAAAAAGATATTCCGGATTTTCAACAGCGAAATTTCACATTTTCAGAAGAAAAACGAAATCGGAAATTTCAGATATTGCGCTATTGTGATTTTCCACAACAGAAAAAGCGAGAAAACAAAATCCAAGAAAAGAAAAAAATTTTGATTTTCAGCAGTGTGGTCAAAATCGTGATTTTGGGGGCTAACTAGTGTGCTCTAATCAAAACTAATCAGCCACCTAGTCCCCGCACACGTGTCAGATCAGGTTGTCCTGATTCACGTGTGGTGTTCCGATACCAACTGTTACATGCCCAGTTGGGCGTTGTACATATAAACCAAGGATCGGCAACGTGATGAAAAGGACTGCATGGACAATACAGTGCAAGTGAAATCTCAACAAGCAGTGTACAGTCTCATACATACAAAATGGTGCTTCACAGCGCAGTGGAAGACTTAGATACAAGTCCTGACCTGACCGGGACTGACCTCTCTCATGTAGTACAAGATAGCGCAGCAGAATACTAGAATGCTAATGACTAACCCAATCAATGTTACAACGCAGACCAAACATACATCATTCTCACCACACGGTGTGAAGGGAGCCTGGCGCTATACACAGGAAGAGGCGCCAGGTCCATTTCATGCACAGACGAAGAGGAGAGGATCAGATGGAGAAGAGGAGGGAAGAGATGGGAAAGTCGTCAACACCAAGTCTTGTTACAAGTCCCAAAGAATCCCTCGTCAAAATGTCTGAAGTCCAATGTCGAGTCTGGATCCAAATGTCACCAAGTTCTCTCTCCCTCTCTCTCTCTCTCTCTCTCTCTCTCTCTCTCTCTCACACACACACACACACACACACACGCACACACACACACACACACACACACACATCGTCTGCTGATGCAGTGAAGTCAGATACCGAGAGGGTGAGGGAGATGGTGGACTGAGAAGAGGAAGAAGGAGAACTCTCTCTCTCTCATATGCCAGGTACTAACCTGTGAAGGTGGCGCTGTGCTGCAGGTACCTTGAAGACAAAGCTGGAGCGATGGCGCTGCAGGTAAGTCCCCCTGGCCTCCGCCCAATCTCTCCCTCTATAGTACTACTCTAGAGGCTACGGCGCCCAGCGCTGGAGACTACAGCTAACGTTACTAGCACCCAGCGCTGAAGACTACTGCTAACGCTACCACTACTCCTGCAGCGCTCCTCCAGAGTGCTGCTGCTGAATCCTGAAGACTACCTCCTGCTTCTTGAACTGAACGTGAAGTGCCTGGGAAGTACCTAGGAACTACCTGCAGCCCGCAGGGCGGGCCAGTCCTTTATCGTGCTGGCCCGTCCAGGAGGCTGCTCTTGCCAATGCCAAAACGTGCCAGACCCTGGGGTTGAAGCTCAAACGAAGGTTGTCTTGAAAATAGGCCAAAAATGGCCTGAGCTAAAACCCTGGTTTGGTGCCTGAGTTTCGGGGCAGGCCGAACTCATGAGGGCCTAAAAATGGCCCTCAGTTTCAGGCTGAAAAGACTCAGGGCCGGAAAGGCCCTGATTTAGGCTGAAAGGACACAGGGCCTGTAGGCCTTTGTTTTCAGGCTTTCAGGCTGAAATGACACGGGGCCTGTAGGCCCTTGTTTTCAGGCTTTTGGCCTGAAAACGTCACGGGCCTGAAAGTGGCCCGTGCAGCCTGTTGCAGGCGCAGCATGTAACATCCGCCAAACAATGTGAAAAAGATCCCGCCATAGCCCCGCTCCCCCTCCTTCTCCTGCTCCTCCCTCTCCTTCTCTTGCTCCCCCTCCTCCTGCTGCTCCTCCTCCCCTGATTCTCTTGCTCTTTCCCTCGTTCCTCCTCTCCCGCTCCTCC